AGAAAGTTCATTGGTTTTTATTGTACTTTTCCCTAAATATTAATTATAGTAATTAATATTAGTTAAAAATTATTCATTACTTTTAATTATACATTAATATTTTTTTATTAACCTGGATATCCGACCTGCTATGCGAGCCGACTAATTCCAGGACGATCACCTACCTTGCAGATAGCCCGGAGTCACCGTATTTGAACCTCCATGGCCACAAGGGGATTTTTATTTTATCCTTGGATTTGAACCTGGGACCTCCAGGTACTTTTGATCTTTTGAGCCAAACTCAAACCAATCAGGCACCACCCTTGTGGTTGATTATATATTAATATTAATTATTACTTATTTAGAAAATATTATTAATCATATCAATTATCTTTTAATCATTATTCAATATATTTAGTTATCAAAAAACAAATATAACAATTCAAAAAATGTATGTAAATCACATAAAAATTAAACTTATACTTATTTTGTTTCATATATAATAAAATTGTGTTAAATGATTTAGTGTAATATTTAATTTAATTATTAATTGTAGTTTTTTTTTAAAATTACTAATTAATTAGGATATACGACGTTGATCAATTTTAGTTTTATTCAAATTATATGTAATGATTGTTTAAAATCATAAATTAAATGTAGAATTTTTTTCTAAATTTTATTAATAAATCCAAACTTTAGAGTTTTTTTCTAAATTTTTTTAATAAATCCAAACTTTATAATATACATTAATAATTAGACTAGGAATGGTGTGCATAGAAATACAGTATTTTGCAAGGAATTTTTTGCACTCGATATCGATAGTTTCAACTCCAAAATTCTTTTATTTAATATATTATATCATTTTAATTTTTATTTACTATCTTGTTTGTATTAATATATTATATTATTAAATATTTGTTTATTTTATAAATGTAATTAACTAATTTTTCAAGATGTCATTTTTGATCACTTTACATGCTCATCAACTACTATACTTTTTGCGAAATATGATTTATTCATCAAGCTAGCTAGCTTATGAGCCGGTAGCTAACTTATAAATTAAATTTGCCAAACATAACTTAAGTCTTGGACATTTGAGGATTCTCCTTAAAGATACGATCATCGATTCAAGTTTTGAACTACCATTGAGGATTTTTTTTTGGTTATTATCTAGGGCTCCTACGATTAGTCAAAGTGACTGTTAAAAAAATGAAGAAATATACATATATATATATGTGTGTGTGTGTGTTTTGTGTTGGGTTCACATGAGACTAACATGTTTTCGTTAGACCTATGAGACCACATTTTTACACTTGAAACATCACAGCGAAACATTGTGATGGTAAAGATAAATCTAAAGTTTCACATTAAAAATACTATGAAGGTTACCTTCATAGTGTTTTACTATGAAGTTTCAAGTGTAAAAAGTTGGTTTCACTGGTCTCACAAAAATATGCTGGTTTCACATAATCCAAGTATATATATATATATATATATATAGAGAGAGAGAGAGAGAGAGAGAGAGAGTTAATATCTTTTGTTAACCAATTTCTTTGTGTTAGCTATATTAACTCTCTAGACCAATAGAAATCCATCTAATGTTCTTGGTTCATACATCACAACGTATTTATTGTGAATGACGATTTGGTAATTTATTTTATTTTTTTGTATTACTCTAAAACATTTAAATGGAGGTTACAAAATTTCATGATTTTAGCTATATCTTTGTGATATAATGATCCATTAAATATAGAAGTTTGTGACATAACCTGTTGGGATTTCAGAAACATCATTCATTTATGAACATATTCACCGTTTCACCTATGAACAAAATTACTGTTTCAATATTTTTCATTTTTACTTATGAATACATTTACTGTTTCACTTATGAAAACATGATTTTGATATTATTCTCCACCTATGAACACATCAATTTCTTATGAACACATTACTTTTATTAAGTATGAGCATATTAGTTGATAACTTGAAAGAGATGATATAATTTTAATTATGAAACGTTAAGGGAGAAATTATTGGGACTGAACTTTGGGTACGATAGATGCTATTTTAATTTTCAAAGAATTCCCTTGTTCACCTAAATTCACACTGGTCTAATAATGCATGTGTTTCCATTATATTGCAAAGATGCATTGTGTCTTTTCAACCGTAGATCAAAAAAATTAAAGGATGGGATGAGATAACAAAGTTAACACCAATAGCTCGGTTAATAAAAGGACAAGCCCATATATATGTATATATGTGTGTATATATATATATATATGTATATATAGACTTAACCATAACCCAATAAATTATGATAACCTTGAGAACTGATACATCATGTG